CAAATTCGTCTAAAAGACAGCAGATACTATATTTGTAGGTAGGTTCTTGGCATTTACTAAGACTTGGTCTCCGACCTCATAACAAGTAGTACAACCTTTATCTTAAGCATCAGTATATTCTTTTTGCTTATCTTGGCTATCAGTCATTGTGTCACGCACATGTCGTAAGACATCTAATCGAGTTGAGAGGAACGCGTTAATCTGTTCCTTAACAGTATTAGGGCAGATGTCAGCAAGCAGATCGGCAATCTCTCCCCACCAAGCCCTGAACCACTCGGTGGTAGCGTTAACGGAACGCGTGGGTGTGTGAGACCATTCACATAGAACGGAGTGTAGTCAGTAGAGACGTGCCGGAGTGATTGAGAGCGAACTCAATAACAGGTAGCATAGAGCTCCAACGCTTAGGCGTTTCAGCACAAACACTGCGGAGGATATCTTCAACAACGCGATCTACGCGTTCAGATTGACCATCGGTCTGATGATGATCTGCTGTGGACATATCCAAACGTGTGCCCAGCACCTGAAAGACGGACTTCCAAAATTTATTCGTAAAATGAAGATCACGATCAGAAACAATTGCCACTGGCAAGCCATGTTGGCGAAATACTCGATCGATAAACAGCTCCGCTGTACCCACACCATCGATCGAGTCTGGCACAGCCGCTAAGTGAGCCATCTTGCTCAAGCGGTCAACAAAGACCACAATACCTGTATTGCCATGCGAATCTTTCGGTAGGTCAAATACAAAGTCCATACTAATGGACTCCCAGCACCCAGTGGGAATAGGCAAACTAGCCAACGGTGCTGCCGAATGGGGCGAGGGTTTCACCCGTTGACACGTTTCACACGTACGCACATATTTGCTCACCCATTTATATAATTTGGGCCACCAATAACGTTGTCATACTGCCCCATAGGTCTTTTCACGGCTCAAATGACCACCGATGGCGGTGTCATGTAACTCATAAAGGATACGATACTTCAGGTCTTCATCATGAGGAACCACAATACGCGGAGGATCCGCCATATCCGTAAAATAGTACAACAGCTCCTGATCGATGGAATATCGATGAAGACTCGCACGTAATCGTGCCGACAATTTAATGTCCATGTCTTTAAACTCATCACTGCCAAGAGCATTTAGCAGGGCTACACAATGATCGTCTTAAGCATACGCCGATCGAATGAGATCGGTGATCGAAGACGACAATGTCGTATTATGAGAAAGCCCATAGTCAGGTCTGCGTGACAACGCATCAGCCAAAGCATTTTGCTTGCCCGGCTTATACTTCACCTCGAAATTATCTTCGGCAAAGAATGACAGCCATCTGGCCATTCTCTGCGAGAGATGCGGCGACTGAGTCGCAGTGCGTAATGACGCATGATCGGTATAGATCACAAAAGGCTTTGAGCCAAGCAGATGAACTCTGAATTTGACCAGGGCATACTTCATTGCATTTAGCTCTTTGTCATGAAGTGGGTAGATATTCTCTGTCGCTTTGAGCTGGCGATATTCAAAGGATATCACACGCTCACGGCCTTCATCATCTGTTTGTAACAGAGCCTTCGGGGCCGAAGCAATTCCCTTTCTAGGGTGCTTCATTGGAAAACGGGGCCTAAGAGCGGATCCCGCCAAGGTCAAAGCCATAGTTGAGTGGCCTGTTTTACAGTCTCAGAAGGACTTGCGTAAATGGCTTGGCCTTGCCAATTACTTACACAAGTACAGCGAGAATTACGCTGATATGGCTTGGCCGTTATCCAATCTCCTTAAAAAGATGAGGAATCATGTTGGCATGCCGAACACGAGGATGCTTTTCAATCGGTGAAGGCGAGCCTTTTACATGCTCCTATTTTGGCTTTGCCAGACCCTGGTCGACCGTTTAGTGTCGTCTGTGACGCGTCGGATTTTTCCATTGGCAGTATGCACTTAGATGCATTAGCATATAGTTTATTAGTGCGCATGCACTCGAGCACAGCTCGTAAATGAACTATATGATTATCAATATCTGACCGCCCATTTTCAGCTCGACTATGGACAAAAATGTCATCAAAGTACGTCTGTGCATAACTTCGATGGGGTCGAAACAATTGCGTTACCAAACGGTTAAACGTAGCCGGAGCATTATATAGACCCTGGGGCATTACTAACCACTCCCAGAGCATACCGCTCGGAGTACTAACAGCAGTAAGCGGAATATCGTTAGCTCGCATTAGCAATTGGTAATGACCATCGACTAAGTCGATTGCACTGTACATGGTACAACCAACCATATTGTATTAAAGAGCATCTTTTTTGGAATTGGCGTCTGTGCAGGTATAGTGGCTGCATTGAGCTTATTATAAGCATGAATAATACCCCACTTACCTTTGGGTTCTTGACATAGAAAGTGGGTGTCGAGTGCGGAGATTTGCTCTCGCGCACCATGCCCGCCGCGTGCTTTGCACGAAAGAACTCGTCAATGACGTCACACTGTTCTTTGGGTAAAACCACTGCCGTGTTACGCAGTATTTGGTTCCGGGAACCAAGTCAATCTCATGACGTACACCTCTATCAGGAGGTAGAACCGACGGTGGATCGTGGCACACCACGTCCTGGAATTTACTAACTTAAGGATAGTAGGGATCTGAAGGGTCCTTCAGAATAGATGCCCCACTACGTGCAACTAGTGCCGCCTTTGTATCTTCGAGGACTGTCTCATCGACAAGCGAGGATGAGTTCAGCTCGAGGTTAGGTCGAATGACCACCATATCGGATAGAGCACCAGCCTTCAAGGCTTGATGAAATTCATACACAGACATTTCTTCTAGCTTTAACAGAGTGTATGATAATAAAAGGTCCTTAAGGTCAACCTCACCATCAACAATCTCAGTTGTCACTCCATTGACAAGGGTGTACAGCTGATTGCTGACATCACTTTGTGACAACAATAGACACCTTACGTCTCGCAGCAACCATTCGGAGACACTGCCGTCTCAATGACGAGACCTTACCCTTTGAAATACTCGGGGTATTATCATCCCCAAGGTCGATAAGTTCCTTGACCTTTTTCTACTCTATACAAGAGCCGATGTCATTTCCGACATCCAGTAAGTCGCTATTTCATCCAGCATCACACGGCGTATTTATGCGTACCACTCCACGCTCATCACTCGGGTTCAACCCTGATGACTGGGATCTAGGCCAACAATGCTTTTAGCATTTATTGATTCGATATCACTACGAGTATCAATCAACGGAGTACAAGCCGTCTTACTATGTGTCAACGGAGCATTTATCGATACTACTATCGTTGATATGGGTGTCTGCTATCTCAGACACACCAATATCCAGCACACTAACTGACCCGGTCAGTGGCTCGCGCCAATAGCGCTTCTGATTCCTAGCGAAAGTGGGCTCATGACTCTCCAAAGTTTCGCTAGAAACATTGCGCGTTGCGCCTAAGATTTTGGATCTCCAATCGATCCATGGCTCATGGCGTTCCAGCCAGGCCATACCGAGAATGAGATCATATCTCGAGTCCAAATCTAGGACAAGACAGCGTTCAACACTATCGAAGTCTAAAACCTTCACACCTAAGTTCAACATTACTTCAGGATCGGTGACACGTACACCCGTCGCGAGACAAACGGTTATACTGTCACCCTCTTACGCTTCTAGCGCCTCAGCATACAGCTGACTCCCTTCAAGGGAAAGACGTCGGACAAAATTAATCGACGCCCCGTATAATATCACTCATTTATAATACTCCTTTTTTATAAGGATCGGTATATAGAATGCATATAATATGCAATATAGAACTTCAACCGTAATGTACTTTCGGTTTGATGTTACAACCGTCTTAGAATAAGATTTGCATTTCTAAGACGGTTGTAACATCAAATTTTCGTAAAGGTCCACAATAAGTGTTGTATTCGTGCCTGATAACAATGAGGGAGAGGCCTACTAGGGCCGCAGGCTCATTCTTCCAAAAGGTACCGTAACACGAAAGTCGTGTGATCGAAGCAGAATGAACAAACATAAGTAGCATAAAGAGGGAAACCTAAAATGTCCTGTTGCCTTGGTGCGCGATCCTTGAACGAATAGAACTAGCAAACACGTGCAAAGGGCGGAATTACTGCCTAGTGCCTTTTTGCTGAGAGTCCAAAGATTGCGTCAAACGGACCTTTGTACTCTGTTGTAAAGAGCCACAACTCACCAACGGACCACGCAGGTTTCCGTTCGTGTAACACGAGTTAGCTGCTTAAAGCCCGTGCATGCGAACTAAAACGTTATGACCGACCTCTCGAACGGGAGCCGAGAGCTAGATTCTTTCTTGTCCGATTTGGAGCAAGTACTAATGTGTGGCCTAGATCGCTTGAACTCAGCTCGAGTAACGCGGTCACGTGGTTCACCTAGCCATGATATTTGAGCTAAACTAACTAAACGCTACTGGTCCTAGCAATGGACGCAATATCGCAAACAAATGCCGAATGCTGAGCATCTATCGTTGTTGTAAGAATGTCAACAGACTCAAAATGCCAACAAACTTAAAATACGTGACGAGCAAAACTAGACTTGTGGTCCAAGACCAGGTATCAGTCTGACCTTATATGCTTACACACAACTGAGCTAATACCTACATCTTTCGACCTTATAGACGAAATGGAAACGCCAGCTTCCTCGGCACTGCCTATGTCGGGCCGACAAACCCTTGCGTGCCAAATGGTATATGTACCGGGTGACGTAACTCGCTCCCGCGAGCGGTAGCGTCCGTACCTTGTGGCCAAGAGGATGGTTTACTGCGCAATGTAACTATTGCTTTGCAAGCAAGAAACGCACATGGTGGGGTATAACCCTCCGTACGAACTAGTACATACTCAATCTCCATACTCTCATTATCTTACGACTTTATAATCACTGCACAAGGTTTATGAACATACTGCCCTTTCACTGGGTCTTAACAGATAGGCCACGCATCTTCATTGAATTCGCATGGCAGTGACGAGTTGCTAAACGCGTATCAGACTTGCAGTATTTCCTGCTGCTTCTGCATCTGAAAGAGTCGGCTGGGCGAGACATCCTTGGAATAGTCCTCCTCGTCACTACATCCTGACATGAAAGACGTGACTGAGGTGCGGGTGCTCTGGTCTGAGCTGCATTCGGACAGTGTCATCATCAGCTCGGGCAGCTGGGGGTTGTCGCCTACTATAAACGTAGCAAAAGCGCGAGAGACGCTGTGCACCAGCACGTTGCAACGTTGGTTGCCTCTATTGACCAGTGATGCCTGGAGCGTCCGTAGTAGTCGAGTGAGAGATTGTCGTCTCGCCTCCACTACACGAGACGAGTAGATGGGCAGCAAATTGGGCTTGGGGAAGTGGTTCTTGATCACCGTGTAGAGCCATTTGCACTCAGCAGGGCACGCATGACCACGCTGCAGGTTCTGAAGCAGCTGTTTACGGAAGCGACGGTAGGCGTCAAACGGTCTACTGACAGTCCAGACGAGCTCAGGGTCCTGGCAGCATGGCGGTGTGTAGGTGACTTGCACTTGGTAATGTACTTTCGATAACTTGCCGTTGCTGTTGGTACTGGTGCTACTGTGTATATTGAGGTGAAGGTGCTCCAGCCAAGCAGTAGACTGGGACAGGTCTGCTGAAAAAGATGCGCGCTTGCGATAATGGCCTGAGAAATTGGTCATAGGCGTGCTGTATGTTGATGTGATCGTCATGGCCATTGTTAGAAATAGATCCGACTTTGAGGAAGCAAAATAGACAATGAAGTCGGGTGAGCGTTCGATTGAATGACGTTCTTCACCCGACTTCGGACGTCTTCATTTACTAATCAAGTTCTATTAGTGCTTTGGGTACCGATAAACTCATTCTAAAATTAAATGTCGTGTTAAATTTACTTTGGTCGTGGAAGCGGTTGTGGAAAAACGTTCGAGGTTTACCATATTGGGTGGTGGGTCAGAATAGCCCTTGAATTAGCGGCCAATTAAAGAAGGAGATGAAGAATTTTGTGCGATGCGTTGTAGTGTAGGTTTTTCTCAGGAACCGGTCGTGGTTGGCCATCAATGATTTAAGGTCGGTCGAATAGCTCGAGCAATTGCGAATGATCAAAGCCACAAATTTATTGAAAGTGTTCTGATCTCCTGACGAGGGATACCATGCGCTCTTTAGAAAGCAATCATCTACCTTTATCATTTAGAGGCTTTATCGTTTTAAGCCTACTATAATTGTGTTTCGGTGAACACGGTCTGCACAATACCGATATCAGTTACCTGGCTATTATTTCTTGCGATACTGCTGTCTTGCACGCCAGGGTATGTTGCTTGTAGCTGATAGGCAACATCAAAGCACCAGAACCAGACACTCCTCATTACCATGTGCCACCGGTGGAACGAGGTAGTCATCGAATCGAAAGTAGTCTGTAGTTAACCTTGATAAGATGCTTGTAGTTCATGCATTTACGATATGTAGGTGGCTGCTGCTATAAATTGTCCTAATAGAGCATGAGACACAGCTAGTTGCAGCTGTGTATTTCCCTTACTTGGCAGCAGGTAGTTGTGTCCTTAGTAGTTCGCCTTAATGTACAGACGGACCGGCGTCTATCAGGATAGCTGCGGATTCGGCTTATTTATTCCAAAAGAACAACACATCGTCTTACCGCAGAAATGTGAAACAACCGGTCCACAAGTAAATTAATGGGTTATTTGGGGCGATAAGACTGACTGACATACTATCTACGATTGCGCTTCTTAAATCCCCCACGTGCTGGTCGTATTGGAAAAGACTGGACGTTATGTAGAGGATCACGAATCACGTCAGTGATGTGTGTGTCGTGAAAAGGACAACTTGCATGGACAGTGTTCTTCGAATGATCTGGATTGTGTGATCAGTTTATGAAGGGTTTATACATTTACTTTAGTAGTAGTTTAACTCTTAATACTACTTTTCATTTGGCAGCACAGTGAAGTAGTTGAGCTATCGTTACAGGTTATGAGCCCAAATACGTTGGCTCCTAATGACATCCTCACGGATGACAATTACTTCATGTGGGAATTTAATGCACGCATGACACTCGCGCGCAAGGATCTTTTGGATCACGTTTTGATTAAGCCAGAGCCGGCAGTGCTGCGGGAGAATCCCGGATGGAAAGTCGCCGATATGAAGGCTCTGGCTGTACTGGTGAAGCTACTCTCTCCAACCTATCAGTGCATGGTTCGGGAATGTGAGTCTGCGTTTGAAGCTTGGGAGGTTCTGAAGACGTTCTTTGCGAAGAAAAATCTTCACAACCGAGTGCAACTTCGGAAAGAATTACATGAATTTGTGATGGAGACTGGTGCGAGTCTTATGGACCATCTACTAAAATTTGATGAGCTGTGTCTCAAGCTCGGAGCTGCCGGTGACAGCATGGATGATGATGAAAAGCTAGTTTTGCTTTTGGGAAGTTTATCATCCGAATATGATGATATGGTGCGCATCATTGAGGCGCACAGCAACGTGGCGCTGTTAGACGCAAAAGAGATGCTCCGCCGGGAGTATGACACTCTTCAGAAGCGAGACAAGAAGGAAACCGCTTTTAAGGCACACGCTCAACGTAATGAACCTCGACGCTTTCAAAGTAACCGAGGACACCGTGGACAAGAAGAAAATCGAGATCGCTACCAAACTTCGAGGAAAGGAAAAGCTCATGCGAGTTTTCAAGGCAAATGCTTTGCGTGTGGCCGGCATGGACACAAGAGATCGCAGTGTCGTAACGTGAAACCATCGAGACCTGGTGATGAATTCGTTTTTTCGGCATTCAGTGACGAACCAATTTCGAATTCAACTTGGTTGCTGGATAGTGGGGCAAGTCGTCATATGACTGATGACAAGCGTGAATTTGTGGAATACGAAGATTTAAGTACCCCAATTTACATCACTGTGGCAAATGGACATCAGTTGAAGGCGCAAGGAACAGGCAAAGCTCGATTTATACTCGAAAATGGTCGTACAGTCAAACTTACGGAGGTGTTGTATGTGCCTGGGCTAGACAAGAAACTTGTGTCTGTAGCAGCGTTGACGGCCCGAGGCGTGCTTGTTCAGTTCAAGCGTGATCAAGCAGTTTTGATAAGTGACGACGTGACTGTAGCAGTAATTAAACGAGTGGGAAAGCTGTTTGCGTGGAATGTAAAACAACATATCACGTTAGAGGCACACAAGGCTGAGAGCAGTGGTGCGATAAATGACACTAGTGGACTGTGGCATGCTCGCCTAGGTCATGTGTCTACGAAAAAGATTATGCAAGCGATGAAGTCTTGCGATGGTATTTCGAGAGTTGTCGCATCTGATGGCGGTGTATGTGATGGATGTGCACGCGGAAAAATGACAAACAGCCCGTTCAGTCATACTTCAGGAAGTGAAGTTAAAACAAGTCGACCACTTGAGGTTGTACACACCGATCTTATGGGACCTATGAACCCGAAGTCGAAAGGTGGGGCTCTATATGTACTCACATTTATCAACGACTACAGTCGATTTGTCTACGTATATTTGCTGGCAGCAAAGTCCCAAGTTTTGGAACGATTTAAGGCATTTCGTGCTATGGTGAAGAAGCAAACGAATTGCAAGATTAAATGCATCCGTAGTGACAATGGTGGAGAGTATACGAATCATCGCTTTAACAAGTACTGTGCAGATCTAGGGATTATCCACCAGAGGAGTTGGTGTTGAAACAGTCCCAATTTATTATGAAGGTGGTCTCGAAGTTTAAGCAAAATGAAGCTTATGCAGTTCGCAACCCTATCTGCGCAGGACAGGACCTAACTCCGGATGAATCACACCCAGTGGTTAAAGACATTACTTCGTATCGCAAATTGGTCGGCTCGCTGCTGTATATTGCGAATAACGCGACCGGACATAAGCTACGCGATGCTTATTATCGCAGTACTTGGACCAGCCACGACAGATGCACTGGCGAGCGGCTTTACGTGTGTTACACCATCTCATGGGAACAAAATCGCACGGAACTAAGTATACCAAATCGGACGACAAAAAGATGATGCTTTGGGCATACTGTGACGCGAATTGGGGAAATGATAAGAAAACTCGTCGATCTACGTCTGGCGTGTTGATTTTACTCGAGGTGCAGCTGTCGTATACAAAAGCAAACGCCAAAGTTCGGTGGCTTTATCCCTCTGCTGAAGCGGAATATATGGCACTGGCACTAGCTTACGCAAGAAGTTATGTGGATTCGTTATTTTGCCGAAAGAGATGGGTGTCACATGTAAGACTGGGTGACTACAGTGCATATGGGACAACAAGTCAGCTACAAGTATTGCGACGAATCAGAGATATACTCTCCAAGAGCTAAGCACATTGACCTTCGGATGCATTTTGTTCGAGACCACATTGAGCAAGGTGATATCCAGTTCAAACATGTTCCGTGTCAGCTATGCAACTTGCTGATTACCTGACGAAGCCGCTTGGTGCTCCACAATTGATGCGACTACGCGATGAAACGGAATTCGCGAGAGTGGGTTGAAGGGGAGGTATAGGATCACGAATTACGTCAGTGATGTGTGTGTCGTGAAAAGGACAACTTGCATGGACAGTGTTCTTCGAATGATCTGGATTGTGTGATCAGTTTATGAAGGGTTTATACATTTACTTTAGTAGTAGTTTAACTCTT